GGTGCTAAGAAGTATGGGCACCCCTTGGTAATCAGGAGACAAAGTTCAAGTTGGGGAATCTTCTCTCTTTACTCCAGGGATTCCCCTGGCCCTGGAAACTGGCTCCTTCTTCTAATTCTACTCCCAAATATCCCAGAGGCCAGGAGATTTGTCTTCGCGTAGTCCCAGTGCTGCTCAGGTCACCCTTAGGGACCACACCCCGCCGTTCTGGTGGAAGCGACCAGACACACCTCGTCTTCCTGTTTCATAGGTGGAATCACCGAGGCCCACAATGGCTCGTTTGAACAAAACAAGTCATCTCTGGAAAGGAAGTCAAGCATCTCCACAGCCCCCGAGACTAGTTGTATTATCCAGGGGCTAGAAGTTCAGACAAGAGGCCAAGGGCACAGGGAGTCACTGTTTCTTGAGTTCCCAGGGCCAGCTACTCTATGCATTCAGGTTATTTCATTTCATCCTGATAATAGCTCCTTTGGGGTAAGAGGTTTAGATAAGGTCAAGCCACTGTACATGCTACCAAATGGATTTTGACCCACATCTGCCTGGCTCCCAAATCCGTGTTTTGTTCCCTGGACTCTGCCTTCTCAACCAAGAGCCAGGAAGTCTCTAAAGATAGCGGCGGGTCCTAGAAGTGAGGTCCAAATTCCTTGTACAGTCTTCATGCCCACAGTGAATCATCTGAGTCCTGAGTCCATTTTGGGGTTCAGGAATAGCTTGCAGTAAGGGCATTTTAGTTATACAGGTTTCTAAGTGTACAGGTGATTCGGATTAAGGGATTCCACTTTTTGTTCTCACCGTCAGTACAATATAGATTTCAGCTAAGCTCTGTCCTGGTGGATACTGTGTCACGGGGAGACCGTTTTTAGGTCCCCTTGGGTCCTGAGAGGCATTTTGATCCCTGAGCGAATATTCACCCCTCATGCATAAAACCCTGCCTCCCTCCCCTAGCCTTGCAGGGATGACGCAGGCAGACCTCTTCTCCCCTCTCTAAACTAATTTAAGCCATCTTCTCACTTAGGCCTCCATGCCTAGGTGGCTGTTTATCCCTCCACTTTCCTGGTCTCAGGCCTTTGCACAGTACGTTCTGCCTGGACAGCTCTTTGCCCAGAGCTGTGGCTGGCTGGCTCTTTCTTGCCATTCTGGTCCTAGGGTAAATATTACCACCCAGGAGGACTTCCTTGAGAACCCCTCAAGGAAGAGAGGGTCTAGAGCAGGCCCTCCCAAAGCCACAGTCACCACCTGCTGTGTGGTTTTCACAGCATGGACAGGATATGCTTTTGTGTTTCTCTCCACCCCCTGCACCTAAACTATGCCTGTCACATAGTATGTTTCCTTAAGAGCTAAATGCATGCATGAATGAATGGTTGGATGGAAGGTTTCTGGCAGGTTGATGGTGTTTCCTCCTGGTCTGCTTGCAGGGTTGTGGGAGTAGTGAGAAAGCCTCAGGCCCCACAGTTCCCCATCTGCTGGGGCCACAGGAAGATGATGAGCATTTCAAGGATTCTGTAGCTATTCCTCAAACACACCTACTAGTTCCAGCCCTTACACCTTTGCTCCTGCAGTCCCTTCGCCTGGCCTTCCCTCTACAGATGGCTCTGATTGTTGGAATCTGACTCAGCCTTCCGGGCCCAACTCAAGTGCCACCTGCCTCGGATTCTCCCTTGATGCATTTGGAAGGATTTTCTCCCTCCTCTGAGCTCCAGCAGCCTCCTGGCTATACTTCTGTGTAGACACATGTTCCCCTACACTGAGAGCAATTTGAGGGCAAAATGTCTGTATTCCTTTTTGGTAACCTGCTGCACAGAGCAGGAGCTGAACAGACATCCTGGACTGATCAACAGTGGAAGGACTGGCTGACAGCTGGATGGACATGAGGGTAGATGGCTCAAGATGTGACTCATAACAGGGCCACTACCTTGCATCCCTGGACAATCTCGGACAGAGACCCCAAGATCAGGTTCCAGTCCAGACTTTATAAAATGGAGCTAACAGTAGGAACCTCACAGTAACTCAGAGGTTATTTTGATAAATAAATAGATTAATGGTTTGAAGTACTTGGCACAATGACTAGCACACACGCAAAAAAATCTCGATAAATGCCAACTATTATTATACAGACATGAGTCTGAGCCTAGCCTGGAACTCCTTCTTCCCATTTCAGGGGCCAGGGGCATGGAGGTAAGCTCAGGGACCCACCACAGAGAACAAGGACTCAGCAGGAATTCAGGACAGGGACCTCTTTGCCCACATTCATTCATTCATTCGACGGGTATTTATTGAGCACCTCCTTTGTGCCAGGCATTGGGGATTCTGCATGGAAAATGACAAAGTGCCTATCCTCATAGAGCCTGCATTCTAGTATAAGAAGTCAGAGAGTAAATAAAAAAATAAACAAATACATCATTTCAGACAGCGAAAGCCCTCTAAATAAAACCACAGGGTGACTGGGGATGGTTAGAGAAGGCTTTTCTGAGGAGGTGGATTTAAGCTGAAACCTAAGGAATGAGAAGTAGGCATCTGGGAGAACAATCCAGGCGGGGGGACGAGCAAGTTGAGGAGCAGAGAGAGAGCTGGTGGGACTGGAGCAGAGTGAACAGGAGATAGGACATTGGGCATGAGGACCGAGGGGCCTGCAGGGGAGGAGCCTCAGGGGCTCGTGGCTGCCCTAAGAGGTTTGGATTTTATTTTAGGTTTGATGGGAAGTCTGTATGGAGTTTTTAAGCAGGTAGTGATATGATCTTAGGTTTTGAAAAGACCAGGTGGTGGGGTGAAGAATGGTCTGGGGAGAGATAGGGATAGGTGAAAAATTATGGTGGCCCAAATGAGAGTGGAGGCAGTGGAAAGTGATCGCCTTCAAAGTGTTTTGGGGACATGGAGTCAACAGGACCTGCCGGCGCATGTGGAAATGACAGAAAGAGAGGAATGAGGACTGGCTCCAAGGTAGACGGCTGAGCCGTATGTTGAAGAATAAGACTGCAGGAGGAGAAAACTGGAAAAGCTGAGCAACGAGGGTTTTGTTTTGCACGTGGAAAAGTGTATGCTGCTTAAAAGAGAACATTCAGGTGGAAGTGTCTCGTGTTAGCTGGATAACAAGTTTAGAGGTTAGCGCTGGGGCTACAGGTTCGGGAAGCATCGGCACAGAGATGCTTTTTAAAGCTGGAGACAGCAAAAGATGCGTAGGGAGGAGCCAGGAAAAAGTGGCTGAGGGGGGAGAAAAACCAGGTGTCACCAAAGCCAAAAGAAGACGGTATCGCAAAGAGGGGCTGACCAGCTGTGACAAATGCTGCTGAGGGGTTGAGGAGGGTGAGCATGGACCACGGGCTTGGGGACACAGAAGCTGATGGGGACTTGAAGAGAGCCCTCTGAGTGGGTAGAGTCCTGGAGACTGGAATTGTCTAAGGAGAGACACGTGCATGTAGAGAGTCTCTGAGGCCTTCTCTGGGAGAGAGAGAAGAGAAAGGAGGCATATGTGGAGGGGATGTGGGGTCAAAGGAAGGTTTGCTTGCTTTTTAAGATGGAAGATATTACAGCTAATATCTTATGCTAATGCCAGAGATCAGGCAGAGAAGGGGAACTTGATGTAGGAGAGAGAGAGGGTAATTACAGGAGCAAAATCCTTGAAAGGGGCTGGTGTCCAGTGCCCTGGTGGAGAGGCTGACCTCACAGATAGGACTGGGGACAGTTCGTCTGAGTCAGGACAGGGGAGGCAGTGTCTGTGGGTAGAGGCAGGCAGTGGGGCTAGGCGCAGCTCAGGGAACAGAGGCTCTGACATGTTGCGCTCCCCTGCAGGAGGCCTGGCTTCTAGTACTGACCCAGGCTTTCCTGTGTGACCTTGGGCACGTTACTGAATTCTTCTGGGCTGTGCTTTCCTGGGGGTGAAATGAGAATCACAGTCCCTGTCTGTCCTCTCTCCTGGGGTTAACACACTTGGCCCTGTCTGTCTGAAGACCTGTTTGATGGGTTCCCAGTACAGAAATGTCACTGGCTTTGGCCTGAGACCAGGATCATCTCAAAGGTGAGCCAAGCCTTGTCACCTAGCACATGTCAGGGGGCCAGGGGCTGTGCCACTACATTCCCAGTTCCTCACCCCTTTGGGACAGCATGAATAAAAAGCCTGCCTCGATTTCCTTATCTGTGACAAAAGGAAGAAAATGGCTTGGTGGGTAGTTCTGGGGCTGCAGGGTGGGGCCAGGGCCATGATTCTGTCTCAGCCTTCAGGAGGCAGTGAGGTAGAGAGAAGACAACACAGGCTTTGGAGCTAGCCCATGCCACCAGCTCTGCCACTTCTTAATTGTGTGACCTGCCAGAGGAAAAGATTTACTGTGAAGCTTGAGCTTCCCTCATCCTGACCTAACCCTTCCCCAAGCCCTGTGCTAATTTTAGGTTTATAATTTTGTGTTCTTTTATTTACAAGAGGCCCTCCGAAGTGTATAATATCGGGGGGGGGGCAGGGAGCCTTGGCACCTCCCCCTCCATCCAGGGTGTCTATGATGCCCAATGGCAAGGTGCCACCCCTCCTCCTCAGCAGATTTTGCCCTTAGGATCACAGGTGAATACCTTCTCTTTCTGTTTATATTCTTAAGGGCACAAACTGCCGGAGGCCAGCTTCATCTTACTCCCTTTCCATCCTCTCCAGCAGCCAGCCCTGTGCTCCTTAGCCAGCCACTAAGCCTGGCCCAGGGCAGTGTGGTCACACAGTAGGCAGATAGCTCCATCCGCTTCCCCCTGCGCCTCTTTTACTGACCTGGCTTCCTGACTCCCAAGGCAGTAGATCCTAAGTGCACCTAAGCAATTCACCTTGAGCTCCTACTCCTGGGTGCCAAGCAAAAGCCCCCTTGGACCTCTTCCCCTGCATCCCTCCGGAGACCAGGCGGTGACCGCCTCCCTTCCAGGCTAGGAGAGGCCAGTCGGTTTTGCTGGTCTTAAGGATCCGCAGCCCTGGGCCAAACAGTCCCCCTGTGGCCCCCTCCGAGCTTCTGCGTGCCTGAGCCCCAAGTCCTTACCTGGGTGGGAATGAGGATGGGCAGGGGCAGCAGGACAAAGGGCAGGAGCACGACAATCAGGTAGTTGCGGTAGGCCCACAGGCCCCGCCAGAAGGTGGCCATGGCGTGGACCCAGGAGGGCTGCTGGAGCCGCCGTCTCTCTGGAATCCGGGGACCTGAGGGACTGACTGAAGCAGGTAGGTGGCTGGGCCAGGCTTATATAAAGCGGTGGAGTGTTAACCATTGACCCACCCTGGCAATCAGAGCAGGGTTTTTTGGAGTCCGGGGGTGAGAGGAAGGAGGAGGGACTTGCGGGGAGGTATAAAGATCAGGAAGACTTTGCAAAGAAAGGGAGGAGAGTGCGATCAAGGAGTAAAAAGCTTCAGGCTCGGTCAGGGAGTCGAGCCCAGAGTTAACCCCTTCTGTGCATGAAGGCTGGCAAGGGCGCCTGCTGGAGCAGCTGGAGAAGGGAGGGTGCCCGGGAGGCTGCACCGCCGGCCTCTAGAGGGCGAGTCCCCTCACCTCCCCACCCAGCCCGCCCTCCCTCCTTTCATTCCCCAAAGCCCTGTTCTCCGAGAACTGCTCCGACAGGACCGTGGGCGGGCGGCCCCCCTCTGGAGAGGCCCTGCCCTCTAGGCGTTTCCAGCCTAAGACTGTGGGAGGCCAAGGCCTGGAACAAGCCTTCCTCTCCCTTCCAGGTGTCTACGAAACCGCACAGCCACGGGTCCTGACTATCCCTTACTCACTCTGTAGCGTTGATCCACTGACTTAACTTCTCAGAATAACCGCTTCCTTGGTCCCCTGGAATATCTTCCTATTATGAGGCTCAAATTAGATAACTCATGGTGTGTTTGTTGCAGGCGGCAGGAAAGGACCTGGGCATGGGACCCATGGAGCGAGAGTGGGACCTGGGTTCAGCAACTTCATTACTTGAGTTCTGGCTAGGAAAGAATCCAGGGCCAAAACTCCAATGATAAGAGAACATTTATTTATAGAATCACAGAGGTGGAAGAAGTAATTTATAGGAGAAATGGGCTCAGGAATCAAGTTATAGAGGCAAAGGAAAGGGCTTTGGTGCTTGGAAGTGAGGAAGCTGATGGTAACTTAGAAGTTGAGGCTAATTTGGCCACAGGGTGATGGAGGCAGGATCACAAGCTGGTGGGAGAGTGAAATAAGGCCTGGAGGGTGGTGTGTGTGTGCATATACGTGTGTGGTGGAGGTGCCGGTTGTGGGTTGGAAGGAATTGCTGGTTGTCTGTCTGGCCAGAGTCTCTGTCTCTTGGTACCTTCGCCCCTCCCCACCCCATACTGCACACAGTAGAAGCTCAACCCATGGTTCTGTTGATTTTCAGAGTGTGATGATGTGTGTGCCAGGATAACAAGGCAGAGTGCCAGAGGGAATGCTTCAGGAAGTAAGCACAGCCTGGGGAGAACTGGTGACGGTTAGAGAAAAGAAGCTTCTGTGTGGCTGAAATATGGGTTTATGGGGGACAGGATTGAGAGCTCATAACCACATTTCCAGGGTGTACAACAGCATGGCCTGGGCTGTTAGGCCAGTGAGATACTCCCGGAGCCATTGAGGTCTGTGTGAGACACTCAATGCTTTCTGCAGGGTGAGCAGAGAGCTATGGACGAATCCGGGTGGCGGGACTCCTGGAGCCAGCCTGGGTGGAAAGCTACAGTAAGACAGGACAGACTGGCTGCCCCCACGCCCCCATTCAGACTGTGGCCTCTCCACTCCCACACCACCAACCTGCCGCCTGCAGGTGAGGAAGAGTCAGAAAGCACAGGGATGACAAAGGGTTTCAGTTACCCAAGACAATACCCCGATTCTGTTTCACCTTGGAGGAGGCTTCTCCCATGGCCTGAGGCTCTGGTGAAGCCACAAGGGGAGCATGGCTGGGCTTCCTCAGAGGAACAACATCCACTACATGTGTAATCTGCATCCCAATTTGCCCAACTCTCTACAACAACTCTGTGATGCAGGCTCAGAGCAGTGAAGTTACTTGCCCAGGGTCACACAGCTTGTGAGTAATACAGAAAATTCGGATTCACATCCATGCTCTTTGCCTAGCCTTCCATGCCCTGTGCCCCTGTGATGGTAAAACTCAGTGTTTCCAAGTTAGATGGCTGCTCTTTTACTGAGACACCCTTCCTCCTACCTTTGCTTCTATAGCCCCCTTCAAAGTCAGAGGCTCTTGGGATCCTTGCTGATCCTCTTTGGAGGACCAATGTTGGGGCGCTATCGCATCCCCAGCAGCAGGCCCCATCGATGATGAATTCATATCAGAAGCAGTGTCCTGAGGCCAGTGGGAAGTCTCCAGCCATCACAGATCTTTCCCCTTGCCAGACAGTCACAGCCAGGGTCCCACTCTACCAGACCTTGTTCCATTCTCCAACCTGCCCCACCTTTTCTTTCAATTAACCCTGCAAATAACTGTTCCTTTTTTCATGGCTCCTAACGGACTGTGAGCAACTCATGGCAGGTGCTGAGGTTGTCCTTCTTCAGTCTTTCCTGTGACAGGTCTCTGCACTATCTCAGGGAGGAGTCATAACCAGAAAACACCTACCTTGCACTTTGGCCATTGACCCTCCTGGAGAGGGCTCCCTGGGAACAGCCAAGATAGTACTAGGAGACAGAAGACGGTCCCCAGCTTACAAGAACCAGCTTATTCTTAGAAGCAGGTGGCAGATAAGCTGGAGACAGAGGTGGGGCTGGGGCTCAAAGATAGCTTTTAGGAAGTTCAGACCTGGACACAGGCATGGGGAGGCATCAGACAGAAGCCTCCAAGGCAACCAGGGTTGAGCAGGTTGGGCCTGGAGCCCACAGGGGCACAGCCCAAGCGATCTTGGAAAGATGGGATGGCTGGACATAGCAGGGGGCAGGAATGATTTGTGAGACCTGAGATTGCCCAGCCTAGAGGAGAGAAGATAGGGTATAGGGTTGGCTGTGAAATCTTGATTGAAGAAGAGGGCAGGAATATTCTCAAGCACAGATGGAGGGTCACAGGTAGCAGGGCTAGGGAGGCGCACTGAGGCTGTTTACAAGGACACCTCCACCCTCACCCCAGGATGAAAGGTGAAAGGTGATGCATTCCCTAGCACCAAAAGTGTCTTTCTTGGGTGGCTAGCTTGCTCTGAGATAGTAGGGAGAGGTGAAGGCGGGGTCCCACACAGAGTCGGAGAGTGGGCAACTCGCTCACAGCTCTGAGAATGCTGGACCCAGAATCTGACTGCAGGGTTCCTGACTGCCCCCCATGTCTCACACTGCCTCTCCGGCTGGATCCACTCATTTTGTCTCATACCTCCCTCAGCACCTTACAAGGTGCCCCAAAGGTGCTCAAATGACCCTACGAGATCCCATCCTTGCCTTCCTCTTTTGCCTCAGCTCTCACCATTTCTGCCCTGACTCAACTGTTTTCAGATCATCACCTGGCCCTGCACTGTCTAAAATCTCTAGGAGGTGGCCATGCTCTTGCTCTCCTTGGCATACTTTCCCTGCCTCCCTTTCCCCACTTGGTTGGTTAGGTCTCGTTTATCTTTCAAGTCAGCCTAAGACTGAACCTTCTTCATGAACTCTCATCACAGACTAACTCAGGTCGGCTGCTGAGTGCCCGATAGGACCCCCATCCCAGCACGTATCACACTGCATTTCTTTGTCCAGAAAACCTGCCTATACCCCTAGTAGACTATAAATCCCACTGGGACAGGGTCTGTCTGTATGATTGTCTGTATGTACCCTCTCAGCCTCTTGAGTTGATACCCAACTAATATGTGTTGAAAGAATGGATGGATGGATGGATGGATGGATGGATGGATGGATGGGGGATAGATGGGAGGCTCATGAAAATTTATAAAGTTCCTGTCAGAGAGCCTCTTTCCAGCATGTTCTGGAGCTAGTCCCTGATTCTTCATCTGGGACAGATGAGGGTCATCAGTCAGATAACAAGGCAATGAAGTGAACAGGTTTTCCCCACCATCAAGATGGTGAAAAGTGCATAGGGAGTAACCCAGAGTTGGCACTGCCTGCCTTCCTTGGCTTCTGGAGGCCGCGCAGGGATCCAGGGAGTGCTCTGATGCTAGAGGGACCTGAGGCTCATGTAGATACAGTCAGCCCAAGAGCCTCCTCCCTGCATTCCCAAGCAGCAAGTCTGTTCCCTCTATTTCCAATTCTCCATGCCCAGTTCCTTTTTTTAAAATTGTGATAAAATACACATAACATAAAATTTACCATCTGTACCATTTTTAAGTGTACAACTCAGTCCTGTTAAGTACAATCTCACTCTTTTGCAACCAAGCTCCAGAAATTTTTCATCTTGCAAAACTGAAACTCTATATCCATTCAACAATAACGCCCCACCTCCGCCCTCCCTCCAGCTCTCAGCAATCACCATTCTACTTTCTGGGTCTGTGTGTTTGACTGCTATAGAGACCTCATGTAAGTGGAATAATAGAGCATTTGTCTTTTTGTGACTGGCTTAGTTCATTTAGCAAATATCCTCAAGGTTCATCCATGTTATAGCATGTGTCAGAATTCCCTTCCTCATTAAGGCGGAATAATATTCCATGGTATGTGTATATTACATATTGCTTATCCATTCATTTGTCTATGGACACTTGGGTTGCTTCTACCTTTTGGCTGTTGTGAATAATTCTGTTGAACATGGGTGTGCAAATATCTCTTTGAGATCCTGCTTTCAAGTCTTTTCTTTTTTGTTAATTCTCCCTCGAGGATATATTTTCCATTGATTTTTTTTTTTTTTTTGAGAGAGAGAGTGGAAGGGAGAGAGGGGGAGAGAGAGAGAGAGAGAAATATTGATGTGAGAGAGACACATAGATTGGTTGCCCTCCGCATGCACCCTGATTGGGCCCAGGGTCAAACCTGCAGTCCAGGTAAGTACCCTTGACCAGAAATAGAACTCATGACCCTGCGGTGCATGGGCCGAGGCTCTAACCACTGAGCCACAGGAGCCAGGGTGAAAATCCTTCCATTTTGTACAACTGCTTGAAGCACCTTCTAGTTGCTAGATGGGATGCTGCGCAATTCATGAATCACTTAATAAAGCCAACTAGATCTTCACATTTATTCCATTGAGTTTTGTTCTTGAACAGATTTGGTGGCAG